ACAGTTAAAATAAATTGTTTGTATTTATAGTCACCACAGGGATGTTACTTTAGATGCTAATATCTGAACGTTATGTCAGATTTTGAATAAAACAAACAACAAAATTTTATTTCTCTAAAAATTTGAATGTGCTAAGTGTAATATAATGTGGTTTTGTATGTGAGTATACGTATAACTCTAATGAGAAATAAGAGACACATGTGTGTTCTATGACTACAAGTTTAATACTGAAGATAAACTCTTAACAAGAACTGCTGTACTACTTTCTAAGCATGCGCATGTATACATTTATTTAAACAGTCTCATATTACATTTCCCTTCTTTTACTAAAAGAAACTGATTGTATATCTTAACAAACAGACAGTTAACATTAAGAATATGTTTTAAAAGTTTTAATATTGATAATATTATTGAATCTGTTTTAGAAATTATTTTAGCTATTTCATATAAATTAGTAAAAAATTAAAAGCAATCATTACGAACTATTTATTTATTTACACAATGATCGTTTATCAGATGTATTATCATTCTGATAACGAGTACTAGGCTTTACAACTCTCCCAGACCGTGTTACATAATTACCACATGTGCTAACCAGTGGTTTAGAGTTAATAGAAGGGTCACTATTTTGTGGGAAACTATTATCAGGTAATCTGATCTTTTGTGTATACGATGAATCAAGTGCATTAGAGTGAAAATCGGTTATTTGATTTTCTTGGGTTTTCATTAGAAATTTTCTATTGCGGCAGTAAATTGTGCCATTGTGTGTTTTTACATTGTATGACCTTTCTCCATTCTTTGAAGTAACCTTTCCTTGTACCCATTTTTTACCAAATTGAATACGAAATACGAACTGGGTCATTTGCTTGAAGTGGACTTAGACTTTTTGAGTTTTGAAATAAATAATATTTTTGTTTTGAATTGATTTTCTAAATTTTTTATTTAACCACTGATGGACTAACTGTCTGGGGTTGAAGCTTTTTTTTCAGAAATTGGAACTGAAGACTTTGTCCTTCGTCCCATTAACAAATGATTTGGGGGTGTAACCACATTCTAAAGGTGTGTTTCTGTATTCTAAAATACATACATATGGGTCCTGCCTAGATTCTTTTGCCTTAGTTAAGGTTTTTTTAGCAATCGACACACCTTTTTTAGCCATTCCATTTGACCTACTATGATATTATGCGATGACGTAATGTGAGTAAATCCCCATGATTTCGCGAACTCGGCAAATTCTGTTGACGAAAATTGCGGCCCGTTATCACTCATGCAAATATCTACAATTGCATATCGAGACATATGTGCACGAAGTTTTTGTATTACGGTATTTGATCGAGTATCTGGCAAATAGTCAATTTCAAAGAATCGACTATAATAGTCAATTGTTATCAAGTAATTCTTACCATCATGAGTAAAAATATCTGTGCCAATTTTCTGCCACGGTCTATCAGGAAACTCATGACTTATTAGCGGTTCATTTGCATTTGAATTACGATACCAGAGACAAGTACTACACTGTAAAACAAATTCTGTGATTTGTTTAATCGTGCCTGGCCAAAAGAAATTTTCTTTCCCACGCTCAACCGTTTTGTTTACACCAAAATGCCCAGTGTGTATTGACCTATAATTTCAGAGCGGAGTGATTTTGGAATAACAATTCTTTGAACTCGAAATATAAGACCATTTTCATAACTAAGTTCATCTCCAAGGTTCAAGTATATCTGATGGGCACCTTGATCTTTCCTCTGGGAAACCTTCAATGATAGTTTGTTTTAAACAGACCATTTGTTTATCACTGCTTGTTATTTCTGAGATAATTTGCATTCTTTGATCAGTGAAGTGGAGTTGTTTACATACAGTGTGTACATGAATGTCAAGTCATTGAACTACTTCTGACTGCGAATCTGATATACATTGTCGAAATAAGCAATCACTGACCGGGATGTGTTTGCCTTGAACATGGATAACTGTAATGTTGTTTTTTTTGTAATTGTTACAACATTCTCTGCAGTCTAGGTGGTGCGGCTGAGGATGGTTTTTTGATAATAACAGCGATTGGTTTGTGATCTGAGTGTACAGTCACATGTCTCCCGTATGTGTTTTGATGAAAATGAGTACAACCATACACTATGGCTAATAACTCTTTCTCTAAGCATAACCCTTTTCAGTTTCGGTTAAACTTTTCGACGCATATGCAATCGGTCTGCCATTTTGTATGAGACATGTGCCTATTCCGTCCTTCGAGCTATCACACTCTAATGTGAGTGGTGCTTTCGGGTCATAATAACCTAACACGGTGCTTCAGACATCATGTGTTTAACCTTTTGAAAGGCTCTATCATGTTGCTTTTCCCAGCAGAATTCTTTTCTCAAGAGGCTCCTTAGGAGAGCTGTCGGATCCGCGAGATTTTGCGCAAATTTTGCAAGGTAATTAACCATACCTAAAATGGTTTCTAACTGTGGCCACATATTTGGAGGACCTATTTCGCTTATAGCTTTGACCTTGGACTAGTCTGGTTTAAGACCATCCTTGCTTATGACATGACCGAAAAATGGTACTTCTTGTACACCAATTTTTCATTTATCTGGGTTTAATTTGACACCCTTTTCTCGTGCGCGCTCAAGCACGTGCTTTAGATTTTTATCGTGTTCTTCCTTTGTGCGACCGTATACAAGAATATCGTCGACTATTGCTGTAACGCCCGATAGTCCTTCGAGAATTTCGCTTATTTTCTGCATAAATAAGTCACCGGAAGTCGATATACCAAACGGAAGTCTAAGCCATCTATATTTTCCGAAATGCGTGTTAAACGCAGTTAGCATTGACAAACGTTTGTCAAGCTGTAAGCTCCAATATGCATGTGTTATATCAAGAATACTGAGCATTGATGCGCCGTTAGGTTTTGATGTAATATCTTCTAAAGTAAGCATGGGGAAATGCGGTCAACGAATTGCCTCATTTAATGCTTTAGGGTCAAGGCATATTCGTAATGCCCCAACGACAAGGGAATTCGCACAATCAGGAGGCTCACTGACTTTTGTGATAATCTTGTCTTTAATCATTCTGTCAAGCTCTGATTTTACACGTGCTCTTAAGGCGTCGGGTATTCTGCGTGGTGGGTTAATAGTCGGTATTGCATTTTCCTTTAAATGCAAACTGCACTGACCATCAATAGTTCCAATACTAGAACATAGGTCATTGTATTCTTTCATGACTATTTCTCTGGTCAGATTTTTTTTATTCTTATCAGGGAGGGAGTGTTCCACAGAAAATGTGAGCTTCATCAGGTCAAGGTTTAATGACGTTTACAATCTGGAAACAAAGTGATCTCCCGGAAGCATTAATCACAATAAAATTATAAGAGAATTGCAGACTCGGATTGATTGAGTCTGTACATGAGGGATAATGAATACGTTAAACATCCCTCACGCCTCCTAGCACCGGCTTGAGCGGTTCTCAATTCTCAACACTTAATAGTGCAAGCCTAAGAGAGGGGATGCATTTCTATCTACCACATAAAATTTTGCAATCATTGACTGATTTCCTAAATAACAGGTCAACATGACTGTTCCCAGGATTGAAAGTACTTCACCTGTATATGAGGTTAATTTTCAATCAGGGGCCTCAAGGGGGGTACTCAAATTCAGTTTTTGAAATAGATGCTTGGACAGAATGTTTGCAGCACTGCCAGTGTTAATTTTAAATGATATTGGGCATTTGTTTGGGCCAAGACAAATTTCGGTTTTAAGAGAGTGTAAGCTAGTACTAACCGATTTAATTGAGTATCCATCAACTGCATTGTACAAGTTTTCTTCAATGTAACGATTGTCCCCTATTTGATTGGCACTTATAGCGTTTTTCTGAGATTTTCACTGCTTTAAAAAGTGTTCTCTGGTCATGTTGCCTGCCACAACACCCACACACATTTTGTGATCCATGTCCCTGCATCCTTCCCTTCTTAGTGGGTCCATTGCTGATTGTTTTCTTCTATAATGCCTTTGCGTCTCAACAGCATCAACTGGTTGTTGCGCGGCTGCCCCCTTGTTCGGTACACTTGTCTACCTTCGTCACCAATCCATAGCAATAAGTATGAAACTTTTTCTTCCTCTGATTTAGATTTAAGTGGTCCAGAAAATATAAGTTCAACGTTTAATTTAAATTTTTGCCAATGTTCTATTAAATTTGAGCTTTGCTAGTTCATTTATCACTAAGATCCATTGTTGTTGTTGTTTACTGGTTTAAATTACTTTTAACTTTATTATTATATTACTATAATTAATCCAATGTTAAAAAAATTCAGCAATATTTCTGACACCGTGTAATATAATGTGGTTTTGTATGTGAGTATATCACAAGTAGACAACGTATAACTCTAATGAGAAATAAGAGACTACAAGTTTAATACTGGAGATTAACTCTTATCAAGAACTGCTGTACTATTTTCTAAGCATGCGCATGTATACATATATATAAACAGTCTCATATTACACTAAGTAAAGTTTAGTTTTCTCCAATATACACTAACAGCATACAGTTACAGGAGTGCATATATCAAAAGTGTATATATTTATTGATCTGTAAACAAATATATAGAAAGTCATTCTTCAAGGAATAAAGATTTCACTTGATTCAATTCAATGTAACAAAAGAGAAATATCAACAATCTGTCTTGATGTCAAGATAAGCAATATAGTTCCGTTACCATCAAAGGCACTCTCACAACATGATCAGTTGAAGACTACACTTTAAACTACCATAACTTACCAGTACCACTGACAAACTATACATGTTCAAGGTTTCTAATAAATATCTGTTCTAAGTTGGCTTCCAAACACATAACCATAATATAAACATAAATATATATGCTATATTATCAACCAAGAGAAAGGTACATCAAGGAAGGGCAAATATATGCATATTGGAAATGGGAGAGATCTTTATGTAAGGAAAAGCTATAATATTAAGGGGTTATGATGGGAAAATGTTAGTAAGTTTCTCACCAATCACCAGAAAAGTACTGTAAATACAGAAACATGCTAGGTCCTTCTGCCAAGATGAACAACTTTTCAACTGTGATTCTTCAAGATGACCAGTGACACAATAAAATAACCAGTTCAATAACAGATCTGAAATTTAAATAAAATATTGAGAATCACAAAAATAGAAAAATAACATGACATGTACAATATACAATGTAGTCAATAAATTCTATTTATATTAAAAGTCCTATTTTACATATTAATAGCACCCAAATTCACTGAAGCCGTCTAAAACAGTTCGAAATCCTAAAATGTATCACTCTTCTATAAATAATTAAACGTTCCAATAGAAAATGTCATCCGTGTTTTCAATCTCGAAATATGGTACCAATCATAGACACTTGTTTAGAAGCGAATATAAGGCATTTATAATGGCAATACTCCAGTATATACTATTAAATAACATTTATTTAATAGTATATACTGGAGTAATGCCATTATAAATGCCTTATATTCGCTTCTAAACAAGTGTCTGTGGTACCAATTAGAAAACGAAAGTAGAAATCAATCAAGATGCTAGCTAATAATTTACAAGCATACAATTTTGCACACAAATAATTGGTTCATTTTAGAATATCACAATAAATCACTACCACTAATTAACTGACGTTGAAATAATATAAAACTTATACATTCCACCAATACATCCTGCATTCCAACATGTATACATGTACATAAAATGGCTGACTGAACACCGCTCAACGTTCATCCCCGGAATTATCGACCCATAAGTTACTCCAGCGTTATGGCAGGCCAAGTCCCCCCGTTGGGCGCCAATGTCTAAGGGTGAGACAAATTGTGCAGCCTGACCGGGACTCAACCCGGGACCCACGGAATACCGTACCGCGGCTCTACCGACTGAGCTATCCGGCCGCTTACACAACATCTCCCCGATATAGTGAACAGTTCTGAACCGTGACAAATTCCCCTGCTATATTGAAATTCGTTCTCCAATCGAATTTTACAGAGTTACAGAGCAATGTAAATGAAACTCTGAGCTATATGCAGTCACGAGCCCACGTTGAGCGCCATTTGTCGCAGTCCAAAAGATAAGGATGTCTATTGGACGCTGTGGGTTAAGATACTTGGGACCTGGACAGTGTATTTCAAATATTTTCAGGGGCTTTGATTGGTATTTAAAGAAGGAGGAACAGCTATATTGTTTTAATTGTCTTCCGCACGTTTAAATACGTTGTATATCATTTACAAGTATTAGCATTCATAAATGCTTGGAATCGCCGTTCAGCCATGAATATAGAAATAATATTTCATTTCTTGCCAAATACCTTTATTGTGTGTGGTCAACACATAAAGCCAACAAAAATACTTGATTTACTCTACAATTCCGTTCTAGACGTGCTCAGTTATATTCTGAGATATTTTTTTGTTCTGGATCAGAATGTAGGAGATATTGCCCATAAGAAAAATATCACAATTACTAAACGCGTAGTACAATTAGTTAGACTACATGCGCCACTAAATCGGTGGATCAATCGGCAAAAATTAATAGGCTTCTTGCGTAATTAACAACAGATTAAAAATGATGTCTGTGAACATTCTATATTCTATCAAATCATCCGCAAATGATTACATCCGCAGATGATTACTAAAAAAGGAGGCGTCTCCTGTATGATATTTACAGATAACTAATCTCGTAGCAGTTTTACACGATGGTTTATTTAATGTGTACTTTAAATGATCAGGATTTAAATGATCCGGGCCAGCGCCCAAAAATATGATGGTATCAACGGGTTGAAATTAATGTCGTCACGAAATATGTCATTTTCTATAGACATTTGTTTACACTATTTACTCAACTTTATTTGCTTGCCAAACATGTCAACTCTGTTTTACATGTAGTATGAAAGAAACACACCTTTCGCTAATGACTAAAGGATATGATTGAAATACATGCTTTAAAGAGGAAAAGCCGAACATCAACTCATTGAGTAGTATATAAACAAAACTGTATATAATGTATGAGCATTTCCAAAAATGCTAGGAATCGCCGTTTAACCGGGTATTCGAAAAATATCTTTTTGGTGTGTGGAATATACTCCTTCCGAAACAATAGAGCTAATGTTTCTTCTTTTGATATTACATGTATTGTTTACCACATAGGTTTCGAGCTGCTTACAAGATAATATTTATATTATAGATATAGGTAACCCTAGAAAAACAAGGCGGGTGGCGTGTCCCGTAGGCGTCCCTTTTGTGGTCTTTTGTTGCCCATTTTGCATTTTGTTATCATGTGGTACGTATCAAATTCTCCTTTTTGATAGGCTTTAGGGAAGGCGATGAACGATAGAAATGGTTGTATATGTCGCCGTCCTGAAACGGAGAAAATAATATTGAAAGCAATGATAGTACGTTACAGGAGCAAAAAATTCAATATTAAATATTTAAATTATAGAAAATGTTTACTTGTTTGCTGTATTTCGTAAAACAATTCTTTTGCTATTAATAGCGACAGTTGATCAAGTGAAGACGTAAGGGCGTGTTATCAGGTTAAATCAGCACTGATAATGATAACGTTTCTGATTTCAAAGAATTAAATTATATTTTATCTTTGAAGAAAATAATGGTGTTATCGATATTCCAAAGTACAATAAGTATAATGTACACTGTACTTATACTTATATAAACCGTTTATCGTTACAATTTTAATATAAACAGGGTGTTGAGGAGAGAAAACAAATGTAAGTTTATAGTGTTATATGATAAATATATTTTCTTTCTCTTTTTCTGTTGTACCAAAATATTTTTTTCTATAAAGTATGTGCAAGCATCTCTTCAGTTTATTCTTTATACATTGTTCTTATATTCCTTTGCTTTCACGTCCCTTTCAAAATTTACATTTATAGAACTGTGTAGTGAAATCTCGTGTAATACGTGCACACAAGCAATTATGCCAGAAAAAGATAGAATGAGCAATTTTTCATGACTGTATTAGTAGTAATTTAATGAATTAGTCTATAATTAAATGTTTGTAATAAAATAATTATAATGTTGATAGTATTTAGAATAAGATATAAAAACAAACCACGAAAGAGTTATATAGGGATCTGGTTGACCCGTGTGAGATACATGATACATGATGTATAACTATATTTCGCTATATGTGTTTATGATTTGTACAGAATGATACAAGATGGATTCAATACTGTCAGAAATGTCAAAATTTCTCGAAGTTAGAGAAGAGACCGTAACTACCTTGAAGAAAATAAAATCTGAAATTGATGAAGTCGGTAAGAATGCTAGTAATACAAATCTGGCCACAAAGGTGGTGTCTCTTGGTGCTGGCATAACGTCTGTTGTTTGTATGGTTGCAGCACCATTTACCGCAGGAGCAAGTGCACCTGTAGCTGCGGGGATGGCTGTGTTAAGTGGAACAAGTGCTGCCGCTTCTATTGGTGTTACGGTTGTTAAACATATCAAAGAATCTGGTCTCACGAAAACTGCATCTGAAGTAATTAAAAAAGATCAACGAGCTAAAGAAAGATTGCAAGAAGTCGCTAAATCTATTAGAGAACTAGCATCAATTTCAAATAATACTATTCAATTTTTAGAAAAAGCTGCACAGATCGGATTAACAACTACGAAAGAAATAGATGCAGTACTCAAACTAGCTGGAACCGCAAAGGCAACAGAGATTGCGACAAAGACCGCACAAATTTTTGAAAAAGCTAGTAAAATCGCAAAAATCGCCGGTCCAGTTCTTGTTTTTGTAAGCATTCCTCTTGACATAATGGGCATCATTGTTGATCTGCTCGAAAGAGGAAATGTATCTGAAGCAAGTAAACAAATTCAAAAGAATATACAGGAATTGCAAAACGAATATAAGACTGTGAGAAGCGAGTACAATGAAATAAAGTCTGTTTTAAATATCTGAAACGAATAAATTTCATTTTAAAAACAAACCTTTTTTCCAAAAGGTGATGGGGAAAAATTTCTTATATCTAAATATTGATGCAATGTATATTGGAATTTATATCTATATTTACATTTATTTATTTTCGTTCTATATTTTATATACAAAATAGAAATTGTGTATAGGTTTATTAAATTGTATTTTATTTGAATCCTTACATCTCAATATTCTTCTTAATATTTTTTTGACCATTTTTGACAATTTTTAAACTCGAATATGATTTCTTTTTAATTCGGTGCTAGGTGCATGTACGGAAGCTTGTATTTTCCAGTACCGTCCATGAACTCCATCAAACCGAGTGTGCAGCATTGCATTTGACATATTGGACGTTCTTATGGGATTTTTTTTCTTCATTCTATATGTGAAAAAAGCAAATAGACAATTGAGAAGAATATGTTTAGCAGAAACATTGTCATTGGCTTTTGTAGTGTTGATATAATGATAATATATTGTAACATAGAATACCACATCTGCTAGTATGCTAATTAGTTAATTATCTTATTATGTTAATTGATAATTAAATCATAAAAACTATGGACTACTGTTAAAACTTTTATATCTGAACACATGTACAGTTTAAATTGTTTAACGTATTGAAACTGTAGCAAGTGCATTTTGATATTTGTATTGTCTATTTTAGCATGTATGATATTAATTGTATTTCATTTATCATCAAATTGACCGAGATTATAGCTTTCTTATATATACTTGAGATATTGTAACACATATGTCGAATCGCTATTATAGAACAGCAACAAGTAATTATTATCTATCTTGGTGGTCGATCGACCCAGCCAGATTTACCTGATATCTTACCAGTAATGACCAATTTCCTCGCAAGTAACCAAGTGTACATGATTTCCGAATCAGCTGCGAGAGACACATGACCTTAAGACAATGTTTGAGATCAAGAAGAAATTTTGCCTCGCACGAGGATCGAACCAGCAACCCCTGTATTATATCCGTGCTGGCGGACTGCTAGAAAAATATTATAAGGTTATTTGAGCGTATAAGAAAGGTTCGTTTTCGGTTATGAAAATCTAGAATATATATTTTTTGCAGAATGCAGATTAACTTGCTTTATTCCGTGATTGGATTATTATTTTATTTGAACAAACCTATCATTATTAATTGTAAGTGAATGCTTCGAAGGTCATAATTGCACAATTTTGATGTTGAAATGTTGAATTCTGCTTAAATCGGTTCTGGGTATGTGGGTGGGCGGTGCGTGGACGGCAGTTTGCCAATATCACTGTCCAGAAACAGGCCCAATCAAACGAGCCTGCAACATTTTTATTTAGCAGTTTTGGTTGTTGTTTACACTTTTATTGTTACAAAATTAGAAAATAATTTAAATGAATGAATAAGAAAAGATGACTATATTATTGTATCTATAGTTCACAATTTCTGACATGTTTTTCGTTATTGATGTATGTGATCAGTTAATATAATACTGACTTTAAATTTATTTCAAGAGTACACTTGTAGAATATTGTACATTCCAAACATTAGTTATGTTACTAGAGTGGTTTGTGTCCTTATATATGGGAAGCATTCCCTTATGTTAATTTAAAAACTTTAGTTTTTGCATGTTATTATGCCCATTCTAAGTATTATGACGTTCTACCAACGTCATTACATTATTTCCCTTTACGAGAAGTCTCATCCTGTTCTGGGAAATCATTGGATACGACAACTCGAGTCCGGCAGTTGTGTACATCCCACCGCTGGCAACCAAATGTAACGTTTTAAAATAGAGAAAAGCAGAATCCCTAAAGAAAGCCCAACACGACACAATTGGAGATGTTGCAGACTCGGTTTGATTGAACCTGTTCATGGACGGTACTGGAAAGTGAAAGTTACCGTCCACGCCCCCTAGCAACGGCTAATGCAGAATTCAACATTTAAGCACGAAAATGGTGAAATTTTGAATTTAGAAACATCCGCAGATGTGTTCATACGGCGGTTATCAGGGACCATTCAATGTGACACGGTAGTCCATTCCATGAAAAGCGGCGTATGGTCTCCAAGGCACACAAACCTTGACTCAACACCAAAAGTGGTTTGTGTCCTTATAAAAGGGAAACATTCCTTTATGTTAATTAACCAACTTTAGTTTTTGCATATTATTATACTCATTATCAGTATTATGGCGTCCTATCAATGTTGTTACATTTGTACCTTCTGCATTTTGTAGTGAGACCATCGATACACGTTTGATTTTTCAATATTTTCATGTGTATGAGTGAACTTACAGGATCGATAACGTTATTGGTGGTCTCGGTATTTGGGTCAAAATTTATAACTCAGTAAGTTTGTGTACAAAAAAATTAGTAAGTAAAATAAACTTTTCCCTAGAAAATGTAATGAGATCTTAACGCAGTGTAAATTGTTTTGTGGGAGGAAGTTTTCAACATTTTCATGAAAATAAGCATGAATCTGGAGGCATTCTGCTTTCATAAAAAATAAATTTTTATACGTGTAGAAAATTTTGAATTAAATGTCTGCTAGATTTTATAATATAATTAAGACTACCAGTGAATCATGACTTACGTACAAATCGTTGCTACTTCCAGTTGATCATATATTTTTGAAACGTAAATTTGATTCATTTCCTACCAGAGACATAGATGTTATCTATGTCTCTGTTCCTACTAACTGATATATACAATTCAAAATTGTTACATATGATAACATGGAAGTTTATGTTGTACCGAGATACACATAACATGATGACATTGCGACTGCACCAGCCTTTTCATTCTTTTTTTCTGACATTCTTTGCAAAATTTATGTTTTTATAATTTCCACTTAGGTGGCCTTTTAATTATATCTTTCAATATTCTGAATTGTCTTTCAGTCCTCGAGGTATTTATATCCATTCGTTGCAGTTTTTCAGAGATTGATACCAACTTTTGCAGACAGTTATACCCTGATTTATGGTACATGTATATAATTGAAGATATTCATCGAAATGCAGGCATCTGACAGGACTTTTAAAAAAAACATTTTTACGGAACATGTCTAAATACTATTGTTGTTGATGGTTTTCACACATTTTTATTCCCGTCAGTATGATATTTATCGAAAAAGTCGTGAAAATTTCCTTGAGAAAAATATTTGACGTCAACAAAATCATTACGTTTTACTCACCCTTTATTTTATATTCAACTAGTAATAGCAAAATATCTTACGCGTTGACCCTATATTTTTATTGCATAAATATTTTCTTTTATGACTTCACTACATGTTAAAAAAATTATAGCAAAATTCACCGTGTTGATTTTTTATTATTTCACAATCTTTATTGCGATATCGCGCGATATTTGCATCAAATATGGACGTCAGAACGTGAGGGAAAATAACGTAAAATCGCAGAGTATTAAGCGAATGTTCAAGAAAGACATCATTACAAAGACATACATTTACTGAACATTATAAAATTAAAATGAAGGAAATCGGATGAATATTGATAAGAACAGACCGGTTTATTGATAAAAAAGACGCAATTTCGCCGCCACCGATAGAGGGCGCTTTGACGTCATAGTAACGCTGTTTATTTATAAAATGATACTGCAGAAGTAAAGCTCACATATTATATGTTTGCATACCAAAAATCATCAAGAATTGAGATATTGTCAAATTTAGGTCGGAAAGTAGCGAGCTACCTTAAGTAATTTAAGCCAAATTATGTTTATGCCTCATGCTAATAATGAGTCATGATTTGAAACGAAGTTAATAGATTATTAACAATGCTGTTCGGCAGTTCGACAATACAATTATTGATTGGTGGAAATTAAAGCATTTAACAACTGTCAAAAATAATCAAGAATAAATTACCTAGATAGTATTGAATAACATGTCTCAGGGACTAAAATGACATAATAGAAAGTTGGAGGAAGACTGAAAATTTGGATAGTTTATCAGAAATAATAGACTCAACAAAACAAAGGGAATATGAAAGGCTGAATAAACCCTTTGAAGGAACATTTGTGAATATATCTAGGGTTAGGGTTAGATCCAAAAACGATTAAAGATTTCGGATATACATCAAAAGGATTATTGGATATTTATATTGTTATAAAAAATCAAATGTCTGTTGAAGTCAAAGCTCATGTGTGATGAGTGTGAATAAAGAAAGGCATATTGACAATTAAATGGTAAATATGAATAAAGGCGATAAATCATATGTTATTATATGAAATTAGTTTTTGTTTATTTTTTCTTAAATAATTTAGAAAAAAAAGAATATGAATTACAAGCTAGCTTGTCTTTGGAAAACTTCGATTCATTTGAAGACAATGATAATGCTAGTTTGTTTCAATAAGTCTGGTCACGGTAAGGAATGCAGTATTTAGATATTACAACAGGATATAAATGATATACATGCTGTAAAAAGGAAATTGCATGCCGAGGGTCGACTTCAAAACTGCAGAAACTTATTTTAAATAAAGGAGGACTTTTAGTTTTAGTTTTGCGACCTTAGGCAGAAAGACGAAAATGTATACATTGTACAATTATTATAAAAAGCAATGAAAGCGCGATATTAGAACTGATCAGAACCAAGATGTTATATTTTGTGTTATAGAAATCTCAGTAATGTGTTGGTTTTTTTAAATATTAGTGGTAGGATTTAAACCCGTTTCCATCAAGTTTCCTGAAGTACCGAAAAGTTGCGATTCCAAAATTTATGGCTTAGATAACCGTCACAGTAGAAAAAAATTGTGTACGCGCGTTTTTTGGTTTTCTTCATAACTTTTATCTTTCATTAAAGTCAATTATTGTCAGGAATGACTCTACTAAAATTAATTCACAGTGTGACATGCTTCCCTGCTGAAAATGTTCCCCGGAATAAAAGTCACAATCCTTAATTAAAATTCATAGCATCAGAAACAGAAATGATGATCAATAATCAAACACAGAACTTTATATATATTCTGGAGAAGAAAGTTACTCTCTCAATGATTTAGAATATTTCATCTTTTGGTGATGTGTAGAAACCCAATCTTAACTAATAGTGTGCCAATGCTTATAAGAATTATTCACGATTGCTATGTTAATCTTTAACCCTTATCCATTCAAATTTTTGAAATTTGTATCAAGCGTTTCAATATGTCTTAAAATACCAAACATTTTAAAATCGTCTTACAGTACCAGACATTTTTTAGACTTCAAATCAATCATACGTTGAAATGTTGCAGATGAACTGGTAAACTCACCAGCACAGAAAATCCAAAATGTAGTCTGCTTTTTTGAAGCGGTTACTTCCCTTTATATGTACACTAACGCCGAAAAATTCAGGGGAGATCACTGCGTAAAGATTGTCTAATGACAGGCGCATTAGTTTTCAAGCAAAATAGTTCCCGAATGGTTGAAGATTTCTAATATTGTTATAATTTTTATAGATATACATGCTTATAGTAAGCTCCATGTTTATTTACATCTGTGTTAAACAACAGGTTTAGCGTCAAAAGGATAAGAGTTACAAACCCTAATTTAGCATAACACGGTCACTACTCGGGGCCGAAAATTAATAATCGGCCCACTGAAAATAAGCACGTGTAAAAACGGTCAAATATGATGTCACA